TTTTTGGTAATAAACATAAGTTTGAAAACAAGCACTTTTGTCATCATTGCAGCAAAAGTACAAGAAGGAAAATATCATGGCCCGTGTAGGGGGGCCCTCGAATATTCTCTTGGCCACTGGGGGGCCCTGGAGGAATAAAGCTTGAAAACCACTTCTCTAGAGGACAACATACATGTGTTTAACAGTGCCCTTTTACTGACCCTCGACACATTTGCTCCTCTAAAAACTCGAACCATCTCTTTTTCTCGCTCTGCCCTCTGGTACACCGACCATCTGCGATCAATGAAGGCAGTCTCCTGGAAACTTGAGCGCAGGTGGCGTCTTTCTGGCCTAAACGTACATTATCAGGCCTGGAGAGATTACTAGTCTGAACACAAGGATACGATAGAGTCTGCTAGATCCAGCTACTTCTCTCACATCATTGAAAATGATGAAACAACATTGAAACAACAACCCTGGACTCCTTTTCTCCACGATCAACACACTGCTAAAGCCAAACTGCCCCACCACATTACCTGCCTCATCGCAACTCTGCAACACGCTTTGAGATGTACTTAGCTCCAGGACCGACAGCATCCGGCATCACATTCTCTCCACAACGCACGCCACTGCCACACCCCCTCCCTGCTTGCCCAACGTTACTGGTTCCCTTCTCTCCCATCTCTCTCTTCTTGACTCTGCTTCCATCAGTAAACTGGCACTGCGTAATGTAATCCACCACCCGTATATCAGATCCCATCCCCACCACTTTATTTCAATCCTGTTTCACTTCTCTCTGTCCTCAATACAATGAATGAATCCTTGAGCACTGGTGTTGTACCAACAGTCCTCAAAACTGCTGCCGTGACCTCCGTGACAAAACAACCAAACATGGCCCTGGACAATCCAAACAATTTTCGCCCCATCTCCAACTTACCCTTTATTGCAGAAATTCTAGAACGAGCTGTTATTATTCAGTTAAATAACCACCTCATTGCACATAACCTTTTTTGAATCCCTCCAATCTGGCTTCTGACAACATCGCAGCACAGAAACTGCCCTGGTCAAAGTCACTAACGATCTTGTAATAGCTTCTGATTCTGGATCTTACTATTCTCATTCTTCTTGATCTTACACATTTCCACTTGGTCGGCTTTTAAGATCACATGGCCTCCACTATCATTTCTGTTCTGACGATACTCAAATCTACATCCATACCAAACATGACACCGATGTGGCTGTCTCTATTTTCTATAATCGCATCTCCAACATAAAAACACGAATGACTCAAAATTTCCTTCATCTAAACTGTGACAAGATTGAAGTCATGCTTATTGGCACCCCCCATCAACTCTGTAAAGCCGGTGTAGTAACCCAGTCTGTAGATGGTACTGTACTTGAACTTCAGTCTAAATTGAAAAACGTGGAGGTGATATTTGATTCAGGCTTGACATTCGACCCACAACATATATTCTTAAAACATATTTCACCTCAGAAATATCGCTAGACTACGTCCTATGTTATCACTAACTGTTGCTGAAAAGCTGATCAACACATTTGTCCTCCCGAACTGACTATTGTAATGCT